TTCAACATCGGCAGTTCCTACTATATCTTACTGTTGTGTCTTTGTTATCTTTCTGTTTCTATTTGTGGTTCAGTCTCCTATCGTCAGTTACAAGGGATTGATTGAAAATCAAGGAGAGTCAAAATTTGTTGCACTGAGCGCTGAATGAGAGAAGCAAGAAGACCACAAATTAGCCTCAGGGAGGACAGAAAAAGCGTCAAAAACTGACCAGCCATTTATTCAGGATCAACATTAAAACTTGAGTCCCTCACGCAAGCCAACATTCCATTCATTGACCCCATCAATACTTGTCACTGCCCTGGGAAGGCAGCTAATGTGATCAAAAACCTTTCCCACCCCAGTTATAATTTCTTCCAACCTCTTCCGTTGGGCAGAAGATACAAAAGCTTAAACACACATACCAACGGATTCAAGAACAGCTTCTTCCCTGCTGTTATCAGACTTCTGATCAGACCACTCAAATGTGATATTTAAATGTTGATCTCGCTCTTTGTGCACCTTCTCTGATGGCATAACATTGTCTTCTTTGATCTGTTCTAATACCCTGATTCACTTTGTATTGTATGATCCACCTGTACTGCACGCAAAACAAAACTTTTCACTGTACCTAGGTACAGGTGACAATAATAAATCAAACCAAACTGTTTATTCATTGTTGAAGTTTGATCTGTATTGCATGAAAGCCAGATGGCAGGAAAATAAAGGAAATGAAATGAGGGAAGAGATGTAACTTTAAATAGATAACTTTTGGGAAAGTGACACTGGTATTCTGGTTCAGTTAAACAACAGGGCATCTCGGTACATGTGACAAGAATAAACCAATCAATCAATAATAACATTACCAAGGTGACCACAGAAATGCAACTCTGATTAAAGTGGTTTGGGAAATTAACATCAGATTTTCATTTGCTTCCATCAATGCAAATGTATTTACATTTTCATTTCCACTTCACAGGACGCTTCAACAAGGCAGACTGTATGAAAGCAGAATCAGCAGCAAGTCAAACACTGTTCATGTAAAGAATGTGAAAAGGAGACAGAGCTTCTACAATTCGTCGATTTTCATGAGAAAACAGGAAAACAAACACAGCACAAAAATATTCTTCATTTACCAAAACCCAACAATGGCATCATCAGAGGAGTGCATCATTACTTTATGAACTGAGAAACCCTGCAGAAGTTGCAACATTTGCACATGTTCTTTCCTTGGTTAAAGAATGGAAAAATAAAAATATAACTTACAACAGTCCACCACAATAAATGCCCCTAGTTTGATACAGCTTAAAATTAGAAGCCAATATGCAGTTCTCTCCTGTCCAGTGTATTATGACAAAGGTAATAGAGTTCCCTTGTCCCTCCCTATGCACTGTCAGCACAGCTAAGTTAGTAAGGTCACCAGAGGTCCGTAGGCTGCTCTCTCGTTAGAGAGAGAGAGACAGACATCAAGACAGAGGTACAACTGGTGGTAGTTTAACCTCAGGAGAAGTTGAGAAGGTAGAATCTTCACAGTGACTTCAGCTGGTACAGAATTGAATGTGTGCTGCTGGCATCATTCTGCATCGCAAACCAGCCGTGCAGCCAACTGAGCTAATCGATGCAATTAAAGTTCAGTACTCCGGGTATTGCTGCATGTCAAGGATGCAATCTTTTTGATAAATCAAGCCAGCCATAACCCTTTCATAGGTGCCAATGAAAGATCTCACACCATTTATGGAACAGGGAATGTGCTGCATTTGTCCCTTGATCACATTAGGGCTGTGCACTAAACCGCCTGCTGGTTTCACCCTGAAGAAAACACAACTATGCTTCGAAAATAACTCTCTAATTGTAAAGCACTTTTAGATGTGTAGAGGATGTAACAAAATGCTATTCACCTTAAGTCCAACTTCAAAAGCACGACCCACTTCTCCCATTCAGTAGGAGTGAAGCCACTGAACAAGATTACTTTTTTTTCTATTTGGTGTTGGAAGCTTATGCTTTTTAGAAATTGTTAAATTATTTACATAGTGCCTTTTTATCATCAATAGTATTTCATCCTACGGCACATTCAAGCTACTATCAGTTTATTTCTATTGGTCTTTAAAACTTATTAGAGAATTTGAGCAAGATGCTGTATTCATAGTCAAAGGAAAATGATTCTCGATTTTCTCTCTCCTATTTAGATCAGCTGGTGTTGCAATAAGACAGTAGAACTGATTTGAAACTTCTACCATCTTGCCATCTCTCCTAAAACAATGCACTCTTGCAGATATAGTCATGAATCCAATTGCTGCTTTCAGATTGCTAAGACTTGGTCTGTTGTTCTCAATAAGGTGGTTTTGGATCCACCTCTGACATTACTTGCCTGAAACATTCCTCTCTTCTGTTTATTGTCCCAGTCCAGGATCAACAATCTCCTTTCCAAACCTATTTAAACTGTCAATGGATGCTCAGCCCTCTTCCAAAGAAGGTGGGAATGGCTCCAGGTATTTTTTTCCAAATAAACAGAAACAATATTCTCAGAACCTACAGCTGTAAGTACAACAGCAAGCAGGGTGGGTAAAATCTTTTTGTTAAAATACCTGTCCCATCCAGAAATGCCACTGCTAAGTACACCATCAGCCCATACAATAGGAAACTGATAGTGGAATGGAAATGCCATTGAACAAGTAATCTGGAACTCCAGGCTAATGTTCTGGGGACATGGGTTGAATCCCATCATGTCAATACTGAAATTTGAATTCAATAAAAATCTGGAATAAGAAGCCAGTCTAAGGGTGACTTTGTAATAATTGATCTGGTCCACAAATGCCTTTTAAGGAAAGAAATCTACTCTTCCCTGGTCTTGCCTTTATATGACTTGTACAGAGATAGAGCTTATTTTATAAACTGTTGCTATATTCTGAGGCAGAAACTCCAACTGTAGTTCAGTTTCCAACTCTTACTTTGTCACGTCAACTTTCATTCTGTGGTAACACACCAAGTCATAAAAATGTCCTAAAACATTTTTCAAAAACTGAAGATTTTTATGTGTATAGCCATTTATGTAAGGTGGGCAGAGCTTTGTGCAACATCTCACTAATAGCAGTGACATAAATAATCCAGATAATGTGCTTCTTTGGTGATAACCAATGAGGATCAAGTGCTGACTGGACAATGAAGATGCAACTAAAATCTTGCTCTCTGTTGTGGAATAACCTTTTGACCTAGGGTGATACTAACAGAGACAACGTAAAAATCTCATTTAATAGCAAGATAAAAGAATAGTACCAAATGATCAGGTTGAGGAAATTCTTGTAGGGCACAGTAATGATTAACAATGAGAAACCAGGTAACTCCTCCAAGGATCCCTGGGGCAACAGAACAGTTTGGGTCCAGTTAACAGTTGGGGTGGCACAGTGGTTAGCACTGCTGCCTTACAGCGCCAGGGACCCGGGTTCGATTCCAGCCTCGGGCAACTATCTGTGTGGAATTTGCACGTTGTCTGCATGGGTTTCCTCCCACAGTCCAGAGATGTGCGGGTTAGGTGCATTGGCCATGCTAAATTGCCCATAGTGCCCAGGGATGTTTACATAGGTGGGTTAGACATTGAAGTGCAAGGATAAGGGAATGGGACTGTGTGGGATGCTCTTCGGAGGGGCGGTGTGGACTTGTTGGGCCGGATGGCCTGTTTCCACACTGTGTGGATTCTATGATTCTTAACTGCACTTCCACTACACAAAAACTGTTACATTTGTAAATGTGCAAGTTTACAAACAGTTAATCATTCAGGTGATTTTAAAAAGTGTCTTAAATGGAGAGAGAAGTATAGAGAGGTTTACAAAGGGAATTACAGAGCTTAGGGCTAAGGCAGTTAGAGGCATGTCTACCAACAGTGTGGCAATTAAATTCAAGATTATGCAAGAAGTCAAAGCTGGTGGAATTCAGAAATTTCATTTGTGGGATGTAGGTATCACTGGAGGACCCAGCAGTTATTGTCCATCCCCCGTTGCCTTTGGGAAGGTGGTGGTGAATGCTGTGGGCTGACCCACAAGACTGTTTGAGGAGGGAATTCCAGGATTTTGACGAAGGAACAGTGATATATTTCCAACTCAGGATGGAGAGTGGCTTGAAGAGGAACTTGCAGGTTGTGGTATTCCCAGGATGGCTGAAATGAAAACAATGATTTCTAAAACTGAGGCATTACCAAAGCCATAGTAGTCAACATAAGTCCGCAAGCAGGTTGGGGATGGGCAGAGAAGCAAACAAAATTGATGCATATTTAGGACATGAGCAGCAGAGATATCAATGAGTTCAAGTTTGGGATCAAACAACAATAAAACATCATACAAACAACAATCTCAAATGTGAATGATTTCTTCATTATTCAAATCAAATCATTAGGCAAACGTCCTTCAATGATTTTTTAAAAAGTCTATCCAAAACATTGTCCTCTAAGCAAAAGAAAATCAAAGCAGTTGACTAAAAATGTGAAAACCACCTTTTAAGGTCTTTGTTTTAAGACAGTTATTGAAGACAGACTGTTACAAAGATTCCTAACATTAAAGAGGCACTAAGAAGTTAGAAGCATGAAATATTTTATTTGTAAAATTACATATTAAATCTGAAAGAGACATCATTGTATGTTCAAGGCGTACATTATGGATGCTTCATCCTCTGCTATGGTAAGTCATAATGGCATTATTGTGCATGATAAACAAATGTGTTTCCTTGGTAAACTTTATTTCTCAATCAGACGATTGGTTGTGTTGCCTTGACAAGCCACTGCAGAGCCTCCAGTCTCCCCTGCTTCTCCAGTTCCGCTCCAATCACTTCTCTGCATAACCGATGGTAGTTGTTGATCCAATCTCGCTGAAGGACATTGATAAAAATGGCATTATTCATCAGAAAATTAAACCATAACAAACAAAGCTGTTGAGTGATTGCATCACTGGAGATCTGTTGGGAGCACGAGCAAGAAGTTGATTTTTAAGACAACTGAGAAATGAAAATTCAAACTTTAATGCCAAAGACATGAAATTGCAATGGGTGTGATCGCTAGGACAGATGGGCTTCCCACACTCTAGTGGGTGTCTGATGAATCTCTTAATTGCTCTAATCATATATGCATTATGAGTTTGTACACCTTCATGTCAAATAATAATAACACGTTATGGGAATTAATTTGAAACTGCAAACTTGCACTCCTCTTGCTCAGATGCATTGCAGGGTGCAACAACAATCTAATTTTAATCTAACTGTTTCCCCCTCAACATCAGGAATACTATTTCAGGAATCTGGATGACTTGGTGAAGCTCTTCATATGCACTGGTCATTCCTCCGTTCTCAATACTCGAGCGAGGCATTCAAGAGGGTTCGAAACAATGATTGAACAGAGAAAATGTGCACGTTTGGAGAAAATGCAGAAAATTGCCACTGAGATATAATGCTCATTCAGAGAGCCAGTATGGACTTCATGGGCCAAATGGCCATGATTCTGCACCGTAACCATTGTGATTCTTTTCTAAAAGTGGTATAATCTATCCATACAACACCTCAATTCCCTAAAGAAGAACTGTTAAAACAATTCACTTTAATTCTTTTTTCCCTTTACCTCTCGCCATTCAGTCTGGAAGTGAGATCTACTGATTCAAAAAATGGAGTTTCAAAGTCTGAAAATTAGTGTTAAAGGTCATTTTAGCCAGCTAATTAAAGTCTCTAAATGAGAAATCTGAGATGGCCCTATTGACTTTATTATTCTGATAATAATCACTGGGCTTTAAGACCACAGACGACTTAACCAGCATTTCAAGGCTCATTCAAATACACAACATTGTCACTTCATCACTTTCACACTAACTTTGTTTCCTGGTTGCCAATTTCATCTTTTTCCCTGGCAACTGTCCGAAGCTGAAACAGACTGGAAGGGATCTTGGTATGACCCTGAGGTGAGCTCACAACGTACACCATCTCCCAAATGCCACTTCTCTCCACTTCCATAACATTGACTCAGCTCTCCCGCAGCTGAAGACCTCATTCCTGGATTTGTTACATGCAGACACCACAATTTCAATGCTCTTCTGGTCATCTTTTAGAAACCTGAGTTTAACCTAAATGTTGCTACCAGAATCCTAACTCTTATCAAGTTCAGTTCACCTACCACCTCTGTAGTCACAGAACTGTGTGGGCCCCCAGTCTAGCTACAACTCAATTTTAAAACACTCAATTTAAAATTCCTCCATAATCTCACAGTTCCCCATCTTCGTAGCCACCTCCAACTGTACAATCCTCTAAAATCTCTGCTCTCTCTGATTTTAGCAACTTACACATTCCCAATTTTCATTCCTCAACGACAGGCAGTCAATCTATCAGCACAGTGAGCTCTAAGCTGTTGAACTCTTAGCTTAAATCTTTCCACCTGTCTAACTCCCTCTCCCCCTTTAAGACATTCTTCAAAACCTAACTCTTCAACGAAGTTTTTGGACATCAATTTTTCATTCGTTCTTTATATTTGCTCATGGGATGTGTTTAATGTTGTCAAGGACAGCATTTGTTGCTCATATGAAATTACCTTTGACAAGGTGGTGATGAGCAGCCTTCTTGAACCATTGCAGCCTTTGGGGAGTAGTTACATACACAGTTTCAGAGCTTTGTTAGGAAGACATTGTAATGTTAATCTAGCAACACTGAAGCACCAATTTAGCTCCAAGTCAGAATGATGTGTGACTTCGAGCAGAACGTGCAGGTGGTGGCATTTTCACACATCTGGTGCCTTTGTCCTTGTATGTGGCACAAGTCATAGGTTTTGAAGTGCTGTTGGAGGAGCCTTGGTGAGTTGCCACAATACATCTTGTAGATGGTACATACCAGGGATGAAGGGAGTGAATGTTGAAGGTGGTCAATGTGGTGTCAATCAAGCCGTTTGGTTTGTCCTGGACGCTTCTTGAGTGTTGTTGGAGCTGCACTCATCCAGGCAAGTGGGGAGTATATCATCACACTCCCAACTTATGCCTTGTAGATGGTGGGCAGACTGTGTGGAGTCAGGAGTTACTTTTCACGTTGAATGGAATTCATGGCTTGAAATGTTTCTACCTTAAAAGGCTTTTTATAACTTCAAAGTGTTACCAATTAAAACTAGAATCAAAGTTAATATAACAAAGCTCTATGTTGCAGGATTTAGTTCACAAATCAGCAATGCAGATAGGAATTACATATTTCTTTACAACAATGTAATAAGAACCAGCTCTAACAACAGCACACTGCAACATAAACCACTGCCTCTTGACGAGTAATTGCTTCACTACAGAATTGATTGATTCATGAGGTGGATCCACCACTTTGTTCATTTCCAATAAGTGGAATACACTCTCACCTCTTTTTGTGTGAGCAGCTCAACGTTGATCATTTTGGTTTGAATTGGAACAAGTGTCAACGGTTCAAACGTAAGGCTCTCTCTGTTCAGGTATCGGTACTAAACAAAAAACAAATTAGGTTCAATACTTCTTATCCATTATTACCCTCAATTTGCTGACACCACAAAAGTTTATGTTAGTACATAACCCACGAGGTAAAAGGCATAACCTAGAATATGTAGCACAGATTACTTAATGACAATAGAATGTAATGGCTACAAATGCTCTTGAGTCTGGACACCCTTCACAAGAATAGGACACAGATCTAGATCTTTGAATAAACTCTTAAAACCTTTTTATTGATCCCAACTCTATGGGAGATCAGTATCTTTGCTGAAAGAGATTTCAGAGACAACAACAGCAGTATTTTTGTGGCATTTGTTTCTAATCATTAGCATGATAGATTGACATTTGTCATTAACTGCAACTTTGAGCATATCTGTCAGATTAAGCTCGTTGCTTGCTGAGTAGGATTGTCAAGATCCAGTGTCTGTAACCTTTCTGACTGGATTTGGGAATCAAATTATTGCTGTGTGATTTAAAAAAGTGCAGTCTGTGATTAAATTAAAACACACTGCGACAGAAGGCCAGGTTAATGTTGAACAAAGATCAACTATATTATCTGTGTTCTTCTAAAGTTTTCCACTTGCTCTGTGAATGGGAGGTATATTCAAAAGTAATCTGTGAAAACAAATTCTCAGATCAATCAATGGAACAGGTTCCCCGAGGTGACAATGGAAGAAGTTAATATTGATTATGTCAGATAAGCGTTAGATAGATTTCTGTCAGAAAACAAGATTTTGAATAAAGGCTATGAGTAAGTTGAGACATAATATGGTACGTGTAGTGAACTTGGCAGGAACAGATGACTTTGAATTTAATCCTCACCAAACTCCCCATCACTGGGGTTTTCCTTGTGTAAGGTGTTGTGATTGATGGTGTAATGCTTAGGGCAGGCCCAGGTGAACGTGATACAAGGTCAAATCCCACTACTGGAACCTACACTCAATTAATACATCTGGAATATACAGCCAGGCTCAGTAATGGAAACTGTGACGGCTATGGCTGTTAAAATGTATCTGGTTCGCTAATGCCCAGCTGTGAAGGAAATCTGCCATCTTTTCCTGGCCTGGCCTACATGTGACTCCAGACTCCAGCAATTGTAGTTGACTCTTAACAACCGTGTAAAACGGCCATTCAGCTTAAGGGCAACTTGCTAGCAACGCTTACATCCCATGAAAGAACTAACTGATTTCATCAGTATTGCATCACTTCATAACCAGGTTGTCTAAGCTGAATAATTTATCTGATAACAAGCCTGTAGATTAGAAGCTCACTATTTAATGAGAGGCAAAAAAAAATTCTGAGCACTTGAATCTCTTTAATTTTATTCCAATGTAAAGTCATTTTGGTTAAGCACCACCATTCTGATTGTTAATCCAGTGTTAGCGAAAACAGAACAGAGTGCAGGAAATGTACAGCACATTACTCAGAGGTTTGAGAGAATGAGACATTAATATCACATCAGAATGAAGCTGATGGACCATTGTACCTGGAATTTCAATTTGCTTCTTTTCAATGATGATTAACCTGTTGTGCAATTCCAGCATTTTTATGATTTTGTGAGATTGCTGAAATACTGAATTTTCCTTTTTATCTTATTGACATTGGAAAAGAAAGCCATTTGGTTTTGGAGGCAAAACGCAACAGTCAAAACCTATTCAGCCACACATTCTATGATAAGGGGACAGCCAGAGGCAAATATTATAACACAATGTAAATGGACTCAAAATAGGAGGATAAACAGAATATTATGAAAAATTATTTTGTTCAACTATTAACCAAGACAGATTTGAACAACCTGCACTCTCCAAACAACGATAACCGAGGCAACATTAATGGATTTGATATAAATGAATTAGGAATCAAAGATAGTCTAAAGGGGCTCAACAAATAAATTGTTTTATAAGCAATGCTCCTAAGGAGAGCAAATTACAACTCCTGAGGGCTGGAAGGAGTGACAGGAATCCAGATTTTAAGATCACAGGGTCCAAGAATTGTCTATTTTTAAGGCTATTGCTGCTTCCATAGAATATTAATAATCTCCCATTGAAAGAATTTAATGTCAGGGCATCTGCACTCAGATGTTGATTGTTTTGTTGACACAGGAATATAGCTATGGAGTGGCTACCCATATTGGAAACCAAATCTGCAGCAAAGTGTTGTGTGTGATGGTAAAATCACAGATAAAAGAAACAAACTTTAAATCAAAACGAGTGAACCAATTGCTTAGCAATGAATTGCACTAGTGTGGCATTCAGCAACGGACAATCGAAAAACTCAAATTGTAGTGTTGGCCTGCACTGTTGGCTCATATCCACTAAGCACAGATTAAAAATGTACAGCACAAGCAGGCCTCACTGGGTTCGCTGGGGCTGTGTGTGTTTGACTGCTCAAGATCTCACATCTCCTCAGTTCACCAAACATCAGCTGACTCTCTCTGTATTCTGTTACCACTAGCTGAGGAGGGGTGAAGAATACACTCCCCTCTTTTCTACTGTCTGGGGTCGGATGTAAAGACACCATAGTCTTTCAGGCATGAGGCTTCACCGGTCTCCAATTTAAATTTGGAATTTGTTCTTAAATGCGCAGTAGTTAACTAGTCCACCAGAAACAATAAGGAGCTAATTACAAGGTTTGTTTTTGGAGTGAACAAAGAACAAAGAAAATTACAGCACAGGAACAGGCCCTTCGGCCCTCCAAACCTGCGCCGACCCAGATCCTCTAGCTAAACCTGTTGCCCATTTTCCAAGAATCTGTATCCCTCTGCTCCCTGCCATTCATGTATCTGTCTAGATACATCTTAAATGACGCTATCGTGCCCACCTCTACCACCTCCGCTGGCAACACATTCCAGGCACCCACCACCCTCTGTGTAAAGAACTTTCCACGCATATCTCCCTTAAACTTTTCCCCTCTCACCTTGAAATCGTGACCCCTAGTAATTGAGTCCCCCACTCTGGGAAAAAGCTTCTTGCTATCCACCCTGTCCATACCTCTCATGATTTTGTAGACCTCAATCAGGTCCCCCCTCAACCTCCGTCTTTCTAATGTAAATAATCCTAATCTACTCAACCTCTCTTCATAGCTAGCGCCCTCCATACCAGGCAACATCCTGGTGAACCTCCTCTGCACCCTCTCCAAAGCATCCACATCCTTTTGGTAATGTGGCGACCAGAACTGTACGCAGTATTCCAAATGTGGTTGAACCAAAGTCCTATACAACTGTAACATGACCTGCCAACTCTTGTGCTCAATACCCCGTCCGATGAATGAAAGCATGCCGTATGCCTTCCTGACCACTCTATCCACCTGCATTGCCACCTTCAGGGTACAATGGACCTGAACACCCAGATCTCTCTGTGCATCAATTTTCCCCAGGGCTTTTCCATTTACCGTATAGAAAGAGTAAGCAATATTATCCGCTGCCCAATGTTTCCACTGAGCAGCACACTAGCAACTGCTCCAAGGTGCTGCACCCAGTAATCGGTGTCGACACATATTGACCTCCGGTTCCTGAGGAAGCTGCCATGCATGGTCCTCAGAGACCCACACAGCCGGAAAGAAAATTAGAGGGACTCTCTTGGTATCCCCAAGAACAATGATAAAGATGTGACATCAAACATTAATGCACACAGGTACCAAATTGAAAAGGATCAGTTCTAAGGAAGGGTAACCGGACCCAAAACGTTAACTCTGTTTTTTCTTCACAGATGCTGTCAGACCTGCTGAGCTTTTCCAGCAATTTCTGTTTTTGTTCCTGAAAATGATTTGTGTTCAGTTCAAAAGGAAGATCAAAGAATATACAGTTTAAAGTCCCTAAGATATCACTGAGGCCTACAATCCTGACAGCATAGTTGTTTAACTGATGACCTGTTTCCTCAGCAGTAACAAATATTTCAGTGATCCTAATTTCTTGGTGTCCTGATGGTTATTTTTAAAGTCAGCACTATCACTGGCACTTTCTACCTGAAGATACTGAGACTGCATTTTCTCCAGCAGTTCCAGTCATAGAGTCACAGAGCTGTACAGCATGGAAACAACAATGAAACTTGGTCCAACTCGTCCATGCCGACCAGATATCCTAAATTAATCGAGTCCCATTTGCCAGCATTTGGCCCATATCCCTCTGAACCCTTCCTATTCATGTACCAATCCAGATGCCTTTTAAATGTTGTAATTGTACCAGCTTCTA